ACATTGATATGCTAAACTTCATGCTGTTTCTATCCTGTGTAGATAAAAAGTTTGCGTTTTTAACGTTTACTTTTTTCGCTGCATGCTGCATATTGATAAGACTTTGATGTGACTAATCCTCTAGATGCAATTTTGCCTAAATAAAAGAAGCCATAGTGTGCTTGTGGATATTAGGACAAATGAATCCTTTGCACTTGTTAATTGATTTTTATGATCAACACGAAACACTTTATTGATTTGAAAATAATTATAATACAAGGAATTTATTTAGATAAGATTAAATAATTGAGATAAATAAATTGACAGATAAATTATATAATAACAATTTTGAATCTCGAATTTTCAAAAATTATTAACATTGTATGATAGATATCGAGAAAATTTGTAATTGGAAGTTTTTAATTTGAAGCACCATCTATTGGAAATTTAAGTTACACTAACGTCCATAAGTTCGGAGTCAATAGTTTGTTAAAGTTTGCGATTGGGATTGGGTTTATTACGCGTACGTGACCTTTTTGCTACTTTTCTGGCTCAGCTTCTTTCATTCATCTGTCGAGTTCGGAAAATTCTTCGCGGAAACTCTGATTAAAAATAGAAATATTCTATTTCGATTGTGACCAAACAAATCCTGCAAATTAAAAATTTTTAATTTTTGTTAGAAAATTAAAGCGTCTTGTTTAATATCAAATTAATTATTTCAAACGTTATTATTATATAATAATACATTAATAAAGCATTATTTTTAATGCTATAAACTTGACAAATTGTCTACGAATTTCTTTGACTTTTCATTACGATTTTTCTTGAATATTTAAAAATTATTGAAATATCATTCGACACATATTCGTTAAATATTGGAAATATTTGAAATGAAGATTAAGTCAGAATTATTTGAAATATTTAAAATTAATGTCATCGTACCTTCCATCGAGATATGATTTCTATGATGTAATTGGCGTCACATCGATAAGACATTATCAATTTAAAAACTAGCACACGAATATAAAAAGACCATAAAAAAATATAATCTTATGAGACGACTCCTTATCACAAGATCGAACCGTAATTCGATAACGCAGTTAAGAAACTTATAATTTTAATCGAAGATTTCTGAGAACAATTAGCAAATAGCGATGGGATGAAGTATATTGCAAATAATTTTAAATCTAAATTTAAAGATTCGAATTGTTTATATGAAAAAAAAAAGAAATTTTATAAATAAATCCAAGTATTATAAGATTTTCAAAGTATAAATAGAGTATAATCAAGAAGCTTCCTAGTATGTGAATGTGACAATATATGATATTTTTGTTACAGTCTTCTATTTATAATATTAAATAATAATTGATTTTTCTTATATGTCAAAATATTGTTTGTATAAAAATCTTAAGATATTTTTATTTCTAACTTCAAGATTAGCAATTGAAAGTGTCTATTATGATCACCATAAATATAAATTGATAAAGTAATATTAAACTCGATCCCATCACTGAAAAAAAATAAATTATTTTTCTGAAACTTATGGATAACGTAGGAAATTCTTTAAATTAAAAAAAAAAAAATCACGAAATCGAGAAACGATCCTCCAATTACGTTTAACGATTTATCACGATTAAATATTTTTTCAGCGCAATAAATTTCAAAATTAATCGAATGAATGACACGAAATGATAAATCTCCTCAGTGACAATATAATAATCGTTTCGAATTTTCCATTCGTTCGAAAATATTGAACAAATATTATTTTCGATCAAGTCCCTTTTAACGAAATCGTTGTAACACCAAGCAAAATATTTGTTGTACGTATGTAAGTATTTTCAAGTGCAAAGGATTAACAACTACAATATCGAAAGCTTCTTCTACAAACAGAGAGAGGTTCATTGTCCGTACGTTGTTACGCGTACGTTGAATCGATCGCCATACTGATAACAAATCTAAGCAATACGACGTAATTCATAGAATACAATGTACCTACAAGGCATGTCGGACGCCAAAATGTCCTAGTAAATGTACGTATCGCTCTTTGTCTGCTGACCCTCCTACGAACAAACATTTAGATACAATTGTTATGTATATGACAGCTTCGTGCATCATTATGATTGCAAATAGCAAGGAACACTGCTTGACTCTCAATTTAAAAAATTTTCCTATGATTCTCCTTTGCTAGAGCGAATCGATAATTATCAACAATGTATTTAGAAAATTTATCAGAAGATGGATAATACATCCAATGTATCAAAAAATCGTGATAGAAATTTAAAAAGTTGAAATAAATCGTTTCGTGAAAATCTTATATCGAATATTGGTGGATGTTGATTTTTTTTTAGAATTTTAAATTTCTGTTTATCTTTATTGAATAATTAATATTCAAAATTTTTTAATTATTCGATAAAGGTAAATAAAAAATTTAAACGCTTATCCATATTTAACGCCACATTCAATATAGATTTCTATAAAACAATTTATTTCAATTTTTATTTCGAAAAAGATTTTGCAATGTTATTCTTTATATATTGGATAATTGATATTTTGATAAAACGCATGAAAATTTGCAAAAGTTTTATGAGGAATTTGTATACGAAAATTTTTCATCCATTTGCAAAAATTTGTAATATTCGCGTAAACATAATGCCACTGATACTCACCAGAAAAATTTCTCTTTGAGAATATTTTATATATCGTACAATTTATCTGTTTCATTTAGATTTTCTTTTTTTTCTTTGAATACAATTTCAACTCAATTAGATAGAGATCAAGATACTTACCAATAATATTGCTGTAGATACGAGAAATAAAAGATAAAAATGGTAATTATTGAAATCATAAAATGGCAAGCTCGAAAGCATATGCGAAAAAAAAAGCAAACAAAGATAACAAAACACACACAAAAACAAATGCAAACGAAAAAAGACAGTTGCATTGCATAAAAAAATATCAAATTTAAAAAAGAACCAACGTAAAAGTACCAATAACATAAACCAATTATTTTTAAAAATGAAATTAACTTTTCCTACCTTTAATGTTGCAAAATTAAGAATCCAAATTATGTTTAACAAAATTATCTGATAATTCATAATAATCTAAATTTATTTTTAATAACAATGAAAATATTTAGTTTTGTTTGTTCTTCTTAAGTTCGAAGAACATTAATTTTTTAACGATATTTTAATGGTAACATTAATTAAGAATTCACGCTGTAGATTATAAATGTTAGGAAATTTTTTACTATTTCAAATACATATTTAATAAATTTAATAATATTAACAAATTTAAACCAATTTATATGTCGAATCGTATATTTTATACATATATATATATATATATTTTTCTTTAATTAATCCTTTTGCATCTATGAATGAGATATTCTGATGAGATATCATTCATATGATATCTTACATATTTATATTATTTATATTTCATCTAAAGAAATAAAAATATAACACATTCTATCTTTAATCTTATTTATCAAATATCATATTGTTCATTAATTACACAATCATTATACAATAATTCATCAATTTTTACATATTTGATTTCAAAATCTGATTTCCACAAGATATCTCTTATCTCGATAAGAAAATACGTCAAACAAAGATATCTCTTTTATTTTAAAAACCTAGAGATATCTCCTACAGATGCAAAAGAGTTAAAAATAATTTGAAAATTTAATTGCAAATTTCGTATTTACGTTCTCTATAAAACATATATATTTAATTTCACAATTTCTCGTTTTGAATTCTGAGAATCAAAGGTTCGAGAAACATTCGAGTGAGATCGGGCGAGACTTCGGTATACTCTCCTACTATTTCTGAATCCCAACTCGGACTATACACAAGTGAGCAAGCAGACTTCGGATCAAGTTTATCACTTTCAATAACCAGATCCATAATTAACGCGCATCTCAAATCAATCAAATCCAATTTCATTCTAAACTCTCATTAATGTAAATAGCATCATTTTCTCCCTACCATGGAAAATTATCCCGACAATCTTAATTGGCAATACAGAAATACCAATATCCCATCCGATCCCATCCGATCCCATCCGATCTCATCCGATCCCACCCGATCTCACCCGATCTCACCCGATCTCACCCGATCTCACCCGATCTCACCCGAATCGTACCAAGTCCCCCATAATCTCTCATATTCCAACGTTTCCAATCCATCATCACCCACAGCGTGAATCCAGCCTACAAATCTATCTCCCCTACTTCGACTGACCTTTTAGACATCGATCTCCTGACCGACGTCCCGGAAGTGCAGCTCGGCGTACTGCATTATCGTAGGCGCGGACGGCGATCTTCCATCGCCCAAATTCGACGACAGTCTCTTCGACTTGTTCCTGTTCTTCGTGTCCCCGGTATCCGCGTAATGCGTAGCGTTCTCGGCCGGGCAACGATTCGACGATTGCCGTTCCCATATCTGTTGGCGGGAGCTCGGATTCGTTCTGTGATATTCGGTTGGACACTCCGCGATGTCGTCCTCGTAGTAATGGGGATAAGAGATTTTGTACGTCTCGGGTATACCGAGCTCCTGGACCTGGTGGAAACTCGTCTCGCAGGAGGGCGTGCTCGCGTACGTTTCCGCCCTCCTCGAGATATCAGGCCGCCTCTGCTTCTGCTTCCTCTCGCTACGCTTGTGCTTCCTGTATTTCTGGCCCCGATCGCTCGACCGGTTCGCCGCGTGGCGGCGCTGCGGTTGCCTCGCGGGGTCGTGATTCGCGTAATTCTGCTGGTCCTCGGCCGGATGGCCGGCCGCCGCCGTCATTGGCATGTGATTCTCGTTGTGCTGTTGCGCGAATGTTGGGGGCCGGCTGTTCGCGTGCACGTACGAGGTCTGTAAGGGGCTAACTATCGAGGAATGATAGAGGCTGCGCGTTAGTGGCAGTGTTAGTTGGCTGGAACTGTTGCTCGGTAATGGGTAGCTGTACTGCTGCATCTCCTGCCTGTGTTGTTGCTGGTAGTGTTCTTTGTAGTTGTAGAGGCTGTCGGTCTGCAACAGGCACGGTTAGTCGCTGGGGGGATACGCCCGTCGGGATAGGTGTCGTTAATGCCGGTTATCGCGATATCGGAGGCTGGAGGCGAAATGTTATTTCGTCTTTCGATCGCGATTTCGAATAATTACGGCTCGCGGGGAGGGATGATCGGTCGCATCGGATTCCTCGTGGATTCGATAATGACGATAACATCATTGCCATGGATTATTTTTTTTTTTTTTCGGTAATACCGTGAATTTTGAAACTTTTCAAATTCGATTAATTCGATTGAAAATGAATACGTAGAGATTACGATAATAAATAGATTGATTTTAATAAAATGTTCGTATTGTTGAAGCTCGAACGAAATTTTTTTTGAAATTCTTCATTATCATATCCTAAATCGATTGGATTTGTTCGATTCGTGAGCAAATAGGACGAGAATATCATGGGAGGTATTGATCGTATTGACAGATAACATTTGAATGGAGAAGTTTTCATGCCATTATTATTTATTTCACGTGTCATCACGCTTCAAGATCTACAAACAATGTGTCTATCATGTATGATTAATAATATTGATTTTCGAGTCGCTATGACGTGCTTAAAAAAAGATACGTCCATCATATTTGATCGACACGCGAGTCAACTTGTTAAGACTATCTAAAAGTAAAATCCATCGTATCATTTAAATATTTTATGTTATCTTCATATCTGATCTTTTCTATTATTTCATATTCTTTTTTTTTTTTGAAGATTGACAATATCTCTTGACGAGAACGAACTTGTTGTCATTTCTTTGTCAAATTATCTGCAAATTAAATTACTTTTAACCAAGAAACTAAAAAATGATGATGAATTTATTTTTTCTAATATCAATATTATTTTCCAACATTCAAACGATCAAATCTCCGTCATCAAATCTCATTTTCTCTCAATTTTATTTCGGTGAAAATAGGATGGTGACCATCGATCGGAATTCCCCTGAACCACGGAAACGTAAATCCAACGCGCGCATACTTACACAGCAATCCGGAGAATGAGCGAAACATCGTTATCGCGGTACTTTCTCGTCGAAAGTACTCGTTATAACGTGGTGGGATCGTTTGAAGCTCGCGTCGCATCTTGAAAAGAATTTTCTTCCCTTTTCGTCCGCGATAAGCGACTTTGCGAGCCGTATCCGCGTTTCTACGGTACAGCTTCCACCGGACGAGCCGAGTAAATATCTCTTTACAGTCTCTTTAAAACAATACTTGGCTCGGTGCAAAAGAGACGTTTTCAAAAAAACGAAACGGGATGAAAGGTAACGAAAACGAAAAAAAAAAAGAGGATATAGAAGAGAGAGAGAGAGAGAGAGAGGGAGAGGGAATACAGAGAGGCAGCCTTCGCTCTTAAAAAGATTCGAGAAATAATATTTCACCTCCTTTTTTTCCCCCCCTCCCCTTTTTTCCTTTTTTACGAATCGGGTTGAAAAGCTTGGCGGCAAGCAGAATTGTGTTGTCCAGAAATGAGTTGTTATTCACGTGTGTGCGTGTGTGTGTATATGTGTGTACGTGTCGGTTATCGTCGGTGACGTGACTGTGTGTGCGTGTGTGGAAACTTACTTGATAAGCGGCCGACATACACAAGGACGGTCGCTACATAGGTGGCCAGATCCAGCTTAGCAGGGAAAATATGATTTCCGATTATAACTGGGCAACTCCGGCAACTCTACCTCCTATTTGCTCGAAGCTGCTGTTTTATATCTATTGCGGAAACGTAAATCGTACTCATGCAGTAGGTGCGAGAGATGCTAATTATTAGAAACTGGTGCTTAGAGGACAGGATTTACACTTTGGCCTCTCCCCTCGAATTACGTTGCTGCCCCCTCTATTGGACGGAGCAATCCCTCGTTTCGTCTTTTCCACCATCTAGAGAATCATCTCGTCGAGATCGAGGAAAGATAGATAATTCGGGAAAATAGCCGTCATATTGGTGATAATTAAGAAGTTAGAGAAGTTGTATTTCGTTGTAAATTCATTAGAGAATGTGAACGATTTTGATTTTTGAACAAATCTTTGAAAATAAGTTAAACCTTAGACCGATTGAACTTCAATTTTTTAAACTGAAACTGAAAATAATCGAAATTGAGAGATAATTTTCTATTTCCAATTGATGAACCATCGCGCATCTTTTAATCGGTCTACAAACATTTTCAAAGCCTCATTTCCCGATGAAAAATGGAAACGTCTCTAAATAAACCTCCTCCTGAAAAACATCCTCCTTATCAACCGAGCTGAGCATTACGTAAGTAAAAAAGAACTAGACTAGGGGAAAGGATGCAAGAACAAGAAGAGAGATTCGTTCCATCGATCGATCACCCTGAAACAAGCGATCAATCCCACCTCTTCTCCTCTCCAACTGGGAACCGCAAGAAACGCCACCCTCCCCTCCCTCCCTTTCATGGAGGCAGCAACGTTCTTCCTCTTCGAGGCAGGCCAATAATACGGGTATACTTAACGGGTGTACGAGAAAGGACACGAGCGTGTCGACAAACCTTGGCTCCATTGAGCAACAACGAGGCGTTTTTCGCCGGAAAAACGGGATTGGGAACGTTTTGATACGTGTGCTTCGAGGGATCGGTCCTCTTGCGCTTCCTTGGCGCGGGCACAGGTGGCGGCATCTGGGAGCGTTTCTCGATCGACGGCTCTCCTTTATCCCGACCCTCCTCCTCCTCCTCCTCCTCCTCGTCCTTCGATCGATTCTGATCTCGGCCTCGACTCGTCGACAAAGTCGAGGGTGTACCCGATGATCTGACGATCGACGTTATCGTGCTCGCGCTTCCGCTTGCCTTGTGCGGGCACTTGTATATCGGTATAGCGTAAAGCTGATACTTCCTGTGAATCTGCGAGTTCTCGCCACCGCGGCACAATCTGAGCGAGTAGAATTGGGAACGCTTGTTCTTCCTTCGCCGTGGCTTCAAGCTGTTGTACCTCAACACGGGCGAATTGTTCCTGGGCACGTTGTAGTCGCTATAGTGGGGGCCTAGATGGCTCCTTGTCGACTCGTAACCGGAACTGGCGTCGCAGAGCGACACCGTTCTGCTGGGAGGCCGCGAGGGGCACGGCGAGCTCGGCACAGAGCGGTGATGATGATGATGATGGTGGTGGTGGTGGTGGTGCAACGTGCCATGCAAAGCCGAAACTCGGGCAAACATAGGGGAAACCAACTAAAACAAAAGACAACCGGCCGCTACTTATGCTCCATCCCTCTTTCCACTCCAATCTAGTTAATTCGTTTAGAAATAGGATTTTTTCTTTCGGATGTTTATGAGATTTATATTCGAGAAAATATGTTTTTTATGTAATGTTTGCATGTGGATGTTCATGAAATTCGAATTTAGTAGTCGAGGGAAGGTTATTTTACCTTTTCTTTTGTTTCTTTTTGATTGGTAATTTGTGTTTGTATTGGCTTTACACTTATCGATCGATGAGTAGTTTTGCGTAGAAATCAAAGGAAGTATTGTCATTAAAAAAAGAATCGATGCTATGGAGTAAATAAGTTTATGTGATCCTGTATATTAAATATATATTATATATAATTATATATTAATTTGAGATAATCATTTTAATATAATTGGAGTGAAAAGAATTGAAACCCTTCGGACGGTTCAGTGCTGAGAAAAATGAGAAACAATTTTTAATCAATGAGATTTTACTAGAAATAAAATTGCAATAAAATTGAAAATATCAACGATTTGATGAATCAAACGATTTTATCGTGGCGTTTATCCACGTTTTATTTCAAATATTATGATCTCGAATTTCAGATGTAAAATCAAATATCGAAAATATCGTTAAAACGTTACAATTCTTCATTTGTTTCGCATTTAACGAAAGCCAGAAAGGAAATATCGGAAAATAAGATAAACTGTTAATACAAAGCAGCTATTATTAATCTATTTTCCATTGTTTCAGGACATTTACGTATTTAATTTCGAATAACACCAAACACGATCGAAAGTTCGTGGAAAATAGGCGAGAAATTTATGCTATCATTTATTGAAATAAATCTTCCTCGAATGAATTATTCCTATTTTAAACGTGCACAATGCTTCTGTACATATCTCTAGGAAATAATTTTCGATACACGCACTGAACAACCTTTGGGTTTCGTAAAAATCGTCAAATTGCAGCCAGTTCATTGCCTCGAAAAAAAAAGAAATATGGACGTATATTTTTTGAAATGAAGAATATCTTAGAATATCTTTCTTCTCGATATAAAATTCGTTTCAACGAATCAAATTATTAAAATTATTTTAAAAATATGAGAACAAGATAAGAATTCTGAGAATTTTGAATGTATATTTGATATATTTCGTTATTGAAAAATCAAAAATTTTTATTCAAATTTTCAAAGAGATGGTAAAGCATATTTAAAACAAAATGGAGTGGCATGAGATAACATTTCTTTTATTGTAATATAAGTAATTTTACGAATTTTAAACTACAGTAACTTTAAAAATCTTTAGCCACCTTCTAATTATAAAATTATTGCAAAAATTATAGAATTGTTATAAGATTTTAAAGAATTCATAGAGTTGAAATAATAAAATATATTTTCTTTCATCTCATTTAACTTTATCATCTTTTTAAAAATACAATCTCTAATCCAATTAACATACAATCCAATCAACAAAAAAATACATCAAAAATACTACAAACTATTCTTTCCAAAAGAATGACAAGAATATAAATTATACCAAACTATAATCTCACTATTCATTCGTTTATACACTATCGTCATCGAACCGGAGATACAGATACTCATTCGTAACAGAGACCGTTTTTTGTCCAAAAAATTCGTTCACCAACCATTGGCCGAGCTATTGTCGCTCGAAATGTCAACTAGCGCCGTGCAAGCAAACAGGCGAAACGGGCAAACTGGCTGCAGAATGAGATCCGGTCATCGAGAGAGCTATTGTCGCGTTTGCTTCATTTCAATCTGAGCGGGCAAAAAATTGTCAGTCGGTTCCAGGCTCTTCCAAGATCAACGGGCGAATAAAAAGCGAGAGAGAGAGAGAAAAAAAAGAAAAAACAAAAAGGAAACAAGCTGCTCTATAGCTGCTCCACTCTGTTCTCGATCATTCCACTTACCTGGTTACGTTGATTCCAATGCCAATGTTGAATAATTAATCGTCACAATCGTAACAATCCATAGAGAATTAAAAAAAAAAAAAATCGATCAATATATAAAAGTACGAGATAATTCACAAGAAAAAAAAACTTCCACTCTCCTGATAATTTTTTAATACAATATATATTGTAATCGTGAATTAAAATCTTTACAACATTCGTTGTAAGACTGATAATAAGATGCAGTAAAAGAAAAACAATCAAATCAAGATCCAAAAAATTAATAATAATAGCTTTTTTCGATAAATCGACTGTGATCGAAGAAAATGATAGAAATTATTACACAAGAGAGAGGGGATCACGTGAAAAGATTCGCGAGTAAATTTGTTGGAACAGTGGGTGTTGGACGGTGATCGGAGAATTAATATGTTATCTCTCTGTGTAATTTTGACACGGCCTCGATGCGCAATATCGATCAATCCGCCGCGTCGATGACGATTTATGACGGCCACGACTCGTTTCCCGTTTACCAACGGACGTCGGCGTGACGGGCTCGTGGTTTGCACGGATTCGCCTGAATATCCATTCATTAACCCTTCACACGCTTCTGCTACATAGAGAGAAAGAGAGAGAAAGAGAGAGAGAGAGGCCGTTGCTTTATCGACGCCACCATCGGGGGTCTCGCCATCCCCGAACGAATTTCACGGTTTTAGGCGGTTGATTCTCGTCGGCGCGAAAAGTTTCCGCGACACTTTTTTAGCTTGGAATGTTTTGTTAACCGTGGCGATTGGCTCCAGTTGAATAAATTAAGAAGCGTTAAATAGATTGCATTTTATTTATTTATTTTTTTGGATTGATCTTTTATAGTCCGCTGCTGGTGAAACGTGTTCTGCTTCCATTTTATGGTGGAATTAATTAATATGGTAGTATAATAATAGTAATAATTGGAGATTTTGCAAAGGATTAATTCATTTGAAATTAAATAATTATTGTGGTTGGGAAATTATTTTTAATATCGTACGTTTGGGAATATTTTTTACTACAAGAAGTTTTTCTGAGATACTTTTTTTTTTTATATATATATGTAACGATGTTTGTTTTATATAAAAAAAAATATTCAAGTTTATGTCACGTTCGTCCAAAACGAATACTTCGACGTTGAAAAACTTTGTAGACGTAAACTTTGCATGGTATGCAACTCAATTTTAACTTTATGATTTAATTTGATTAATTTTATAACGACATAAAAGTCTTAAAAAGTGTTGAAAGTAGGGCAAATCGTTCTCCTCTCTCTACAAAATAAGGATGAAACAAGTAAATCTTGTAAAACAATGAAAATTATCTTGCAATCTTAAATTGCAATCCTTTTCTAATTACGAATACAATGAAGATATTTTATATAATTTACTCGTAATTAAACGTAAGAAAATTAAAAAAGTAATTTAACCTGGCCCGGTATTCGAATTTTTCTTTTGTTAAATTGACATGCTGAAGTTAAATGGCATGGTAAATGCAATTATGTATATTAACAATCTCGTTTGTCGTGCATTTAATCCACTCAACTCCTTCCATCGGTATCCTCAAAAGAACAAAGAGCGGTTTATGTTTTTTATGTTAGTGGGTTAATTTAAAGAGTAAATTAAGGCGCATTGTTCCAGCGAGATTACTGGCCGCATTACTCGTAAAAATTGAAAAGAAGCATGTTATAAGATGATTACGGCGCGATGATACCCCATACTCGTGCCAATTTAATTTTTAATTAAAAAAAAAAAAAAAATTCCAAAACGATATCTTTGCTCAATTAAACTCCCCCAATATTCATAACAATAATTAATCACAATGGATCGTGAAATTTCATTTTTATATCGAATTTTTAATCAAAAATATTCAAAAAAATATACGAATATTTACAATATAATTACAGTATAATTGAAATCATTAATTAATCTTTAATTAATTGAATTAATTTTCAATACAAATCTCAAGAGATCAATCTCTCCTTTTATCCCTTCATTTTTCCCCAACGAAACTAGACTCCAATTCCAACAAATTCCGCCAAACTACCTCCCCCATAAAATACCTCGCAACATCGATTCCCACTCTATCTCCTCCTCAAAAACTCTTCCTCGCAACTTTGTAACCGCTCGTTCCAAAGGAGCCGCAATTAACTCCCTTCCATCCCAGTTGAGTCGAACAACCGTTGCACATTCACCGCCGCAGTCTTCCCAATGCACTCAATTATCGAGCAACGTTAATCGTCGACACGTATCGGTTTGTTAATTGGGAAGGATTGGTTGCGACAACAAACAACAATCGATCCGCTTGTAAAAGATCAAACGTAAAAGAGGCGCAATGCAACAACAGGTTACAGAGGGAGGAGGAAGAGGAGAAAGAGGAGGAGGTTACAGTTGGTCGATCAGGTAAGGCACGCAATTATTGAAATGGATGGACGACCCACGAGGAAGGGCGGAATAGGAGGGGGGTTGAAGCATCGTAGCGGCCGTCGAAAGGGCTTTGAAGGGCGCTCGATGCCGCGTTGCATCTTTAATCAGCCATCGTGGCAATTCCATGGCGTAATCACAGGAGGGCCGGCTCGGTAACGTGAGATGCAAATTGGCCAACATTTATCGACTCGCTGATTATTTAGCGTCTCTAGGAAATTGATCCTCCTGGCTGGCTTGCTCAAAGTGTCAAGATGGATGATAATGCCCACCCGTTGTCATCATCTGTTAACCTTGCCCACAAGTTGCGTACGCACGCATGGAAATTTTAGAGGATTTAGTGGAATGGTCCGATCCCTCGTTTGTACACGAATGATTTGACGGTGGAATATTAGGAAGTTATACGAATTATCTGTAATACATTTTTTAAGATAAGTTTTTCTAATCTTTATCCACTTATAATTTATTTACGTTTTCCTTTCCAATTTCCTAGAAATTATTAAATAAAAAAGAAGTTTAATTGGATTTTATAATAACCATAACTTTCATTTCTTTTTGAAATAATTTTTGTAGAAAAAAAAAAAAACCACCATCTCAAACTTTAAGAAGAAAATTTAAAGAACTAAGCTTCAAACTATTCTAAAATTAATTCT